TATATATATATATATATATATATAGACGATGGTCCTGCATTTTTCTTTAAACACATTAAGGTATATGCAGAAGCGTGTAAGGAAGTCACCTTCTGTAAGGTCATTTAAACATTGAGAAACTTTTTTTTTGCATCTCATAGTACAAATGAAATTAACTTGACAAGGAAATGGGTCACCCAGACGAACTAGTTTTTTTGATTCTTTATTCCGGACAAACAAACAAACACAAGTAAGAAGTTATAACTTTTATATACATATAAATAAACTATTTATATAAATGAAAAAGAAAAAAAATTTCGTTCAGTATATGAATAAGGGTAAACCAAATATTTAATAATTACAGGTAGATTACAAATTACATGAAGATAATAAAATTTAATTATGTAAAGTTCACAATCATGATAAACAAGTATTTTAGAGTATCATTGTTCAATGTGTATAGTGCAATTAAAAATGTTGATATATGGTAGTTATAAATATAGCCTAGCGGTAATACCACACCTGACTCCATTATAAGGTGAAGTGTTTGAATCCCCCACTCCCAAGCGCAAAAAAAAAAATGTCGATATAAAGTTTTACAAAATCCACAAACCTTAGCTAAATCAAACGGCTTTGATTGAGAAAAAGACCTAGTTATTAGTTACATATAACGATATATAATTACGGAATATAAGGGACATTAATTCCCTGAATGACTGTAATTACTTGCAAGCGTGTTCCTTTTAGAACTTACATTGATTGATCTAATAAATGAAACATATATATATATATATATATATTTATATAAAACACAATATTTATCGTCTGCGTCAAACTTTGGGCTCTTTTCGGGGGGAAAAAAGTGCAAGTTAATTAATAGAATAATTTGAACATATAATTGTTTTATTGAATTAAAATGAGAGTTCAAATAAATGAAGCTGCTATTCTCATTTAAATCCCGTTGAACATTGTATGGCCTGTTTTGGTTTCACAAAGATTAGCCAACCATGTAATTTATATAAAATCTAGAGTTTACTTTGAGAACTTTTCACTACAAAATAAATAAATAAACAAATATATATTTATATAAACAGACACATATATAATATATGTATATAAACATAACATTAATATAATTGAAATTTTACAAAAACAATCGTGATGTACATATTGTTTTCACTTTATAACCTTCAAAACTTAAAAAAATTAGAATATCGTGCACGTTACTCCAATAAAATTTGAAATTACCGTGTGATGATACATGGCTCCCTGCATTTTTTAAAAGATACATAATCATTTTTATGGTATTTATCTAACTATAAATAATGTCACGTTATTATTTTATTACTTATTAGTATTATGTTTTGAACTATTTGAATGGTTCATTTCGAATGACATGTTAAACTAAGATATATCAGAGGCATTTATAAAATTAATCATATTACATATTAAGCGAGTCCTGAGTGTTTTGCAATTAGTACACCATGCTCAAAGTAAATTTGGCTTCATATTTTTAGTTTTATCATTAAAAGTATTTTCCATTTTTTCATTGGAAGTTGATCGGGTAGAGAATAAGATAGTTTTAAAATTGTATTTTTTTTTTCACAGTTACCTCCTATACTTACATATATAATTGTGTCTTCTAAACTTTTAATTTTGATAAGTTGCACCCTAAACTTATAAATCTATAGTAAATTGCCACATTAATAGCGATATTAATTTTTAAGCCATAAACATTTAACATGTGACTTGCACATAGACTGTTACTTAATGACATGAATGACAATTTTTATGTATTTTAATCCAAATATATTGTGAGTAGGATCTTTGATTATTGATTAAGTTCTATCAAAATATAAAGTTTCAAATTAACTCTGTTTAAAATATAAATTCGGGAAAATTATAAAACAAGACCTTTTATGCTCTAATTAATTAATGACCCTGTAAAAGTCACATTAATTTATGGAAAGAAAATATACACCATATCAATGGAGTAATTTAATTTGTAAGTTCACGGTGCAAATTATTAAATGATATTTTGCAAAGGTACACGTGTTATTTATAATATAATATATATAAGAGAAAAATGATATTTGCGGTATTAAATACAAGTAGCCGGGATATGTTTGTAATTTTGACCGTCATAGAATTGCCATTGTGACAACTCCCGCTCAAATTCAAAGAAAACCCCAAAAGGCGAAATCCTCAATCATCAGATCCACACTTTTCAATCTCCATTCTTCCACCAAACGCAGAGAAAGTTAGAGAGAGAGAGAGAGAGAGAGAGAGAGAGAGAGAGAGAGAGATGGCGGAAGAGATCGCAGACGAAGATGCCCAACTGGCTTCGAGAATCGCCAAAATCCTTGACGAAGCCTCCGCCTCCATCGCCACCCATAACCGCAAGCTCAAGGAGCTCTCTGCCCTCCGCTCCAAGACGACGTCGTCTTCTTCTTCTTCCTCATCCTCATTCTTCTCCGCGTTCGCCAAAGCCCTACTCCCGCTCTTCGACTTCCAGAGGCGGTTGGCCTCCGCCGAACGAGTCGTCCGATTCGTCTCGGCCTTTGCCACCTATAGAGGCCCCAACCAGGCCCCCGATTGCGGCGACGCCTTCTTGGAGGACTTCCTCCGGTTCCTCCTCGCCGCCGCCGCCGCCGCCAACAGGACCGCCAGGTTCCGCGCCTGCCATATCTTTTCCGAGGTGAGAATTTGTGTTCGTGTGGTTGTGAAGAAAACCAGCGAGAAATGGGGGAGAAAACTGAAGAAAGTTTTGATTTTTAGGGCTTTAGTCAAGAATTCCGGGATTGGGCGCAGTTAATTGTTTATTTGCTTGGTTGCTGAGAAAATTAAGGAAAAATTTGGCGGAAACAACTTAAATTCTACTATGCCCGTAAAAACAACTTAAAGCGTTTCTGACTACAGTTCGGTAATTGAGTCCGACATCCAACTCATTTGAATGCTTGACTAAATTTTGTATTTGCTAAGTTTTATTTTAAGCTATTGGAACACGTGCGATGAAGGAAGATACTCTCGAAATCGGATTTGGGGATTTTTTTTTTCCTGAATTTTCGAACTTGTGAATTTCATCCTAATGTAATTTGTAATTTTTATTACCTCCAATTTTGCTTTCTTTGGCTGATGGCTTATTGCTTTTCTAGATCATCATGAGGTTACCAGATGATGCAGAAGTAACCAATGAACTCTGGGATGACGTAATAGAATGCTTGAAGATTCTGGTGGAGGACAAGGTCCCTGTAATCCGTACATGTGCAGTTAGGGCTCTTTCTCGCTTTGCAACTGATTGTGAGGACAGTGACGTCCTTGATTTATTTCTAGAAGTGCTTCCTTCAGAGCCAAATGCGGTGAGTCTCCCTGTTCAAATAGATAAATGCTCAGTGATGCCTTTTTTTTTTTGGGTTCTTCCTGGAGTTTTGGTATATAAACTATTATATCCTAGTGAATCACTATCTTTATACGATGTCCTCAGAAGTATTTAGACAGTACATTTGCTTAAAAGTTAGTTCTGATTTTTGAGAGGTTCGTTAAAAATTAGATAGAGAGGTTCCTTGTTTAATAGCCTTTCTCCATATTATCCCATGGTCTCCAAAGCTTCATACGTTTTTAGTACTTTTCGAGGTCAAAATACTTTTATTCTTGCGAAATCCTTGTCCAAATTTACACCTTTTTCCTGGGATATATAGTTTATGATGCTGCTCTGCTGATACATTAGCAATTTGCAAATATGTTAGAATTTAGAAATTAGAATATGCTAATATCTGACGCTGGTCTTCTCATAGGAGGTGCGTAAGACAATACTGCTATCTTTGCCTCCTTCCAATGCAACTTCACAAGCAATCATTGATTGTACAATGGATGTCAGTGAATCAGTGCGAAAAGCAGCATACTATGTTCTAGCTGACAAATTTCCTCTTCAAAGCCATAGGTAAAGTTATGATGTGATTAAAATATTTTCTTCTTTACAACCTATTGGCTTTTGCAACAGATTCCGTCTTTGATAGCTCATTAAATCTGTGGTTGATTCCCTCATTTTGATAATGGAATGGACATTATGTCGGTAGTACACTGGTACAGGAGTTGAGGTTGCAGGCAATAATCGCAGTTACTAGCTATCCTGATATAAGATTATAGCTTACCGGAATCCTTTGTTTTTATAGCATCAAGCTCAGAACAGTAATTCTGCAGAGAGGACTAGCGGATCGTTCTGCAGTTGTTTCAAAGGAGTGTCTTAAACTGATGAAAGATAAGTGGCTTACTAAGTGCTGCAACGGTGACCCAATAGAATTTCTCAAATATATTGATGTTGAAACGTATGAATTGGTTGGAGAGTCTGTGATGAGGGCTTTGTTAGAAGCTGGCTTAATTCAAATACGTGATGGCCAAAGCATCGGTCGATATATTTTATCTGAGTGTGAGACTACTGAAGGTTAGTCCAGGCTTGGATATTTTTCTCCTGCTTAAATTGGAAGATTTTTTTTTAATTAGCAGAAGTCCTTTTAAAATGCTAGCCTGTCTAAGAACCAACACTTTTGACTTGTGAGATGGTAAGAATTAAAGTCGGTATCTTTGTCTCGTTAAGTTGGAAAGATATAGTTGAAGGCTCTGTCAAAAATGTTGACGTAACTCCATGATGGAAATTGGAAGCAAAGATATCATTCTGGGTAACCGGTAACTGCTTTCGGCCCTTTTGGGTAATTAGTGCCTGTTTCTACCTTCTGGGACTTGAAACTTTTTTTATTTTATTTTATGTTATTTTTTTTTAAGAGGCAACTCAATGAGGTTTCAGCATGGTGTGTTCACTTACGTTTGCGGTTCCTTGAATTGAAGATCTTGATTTTTGATTACTTTGCATAATTTTATAACTAGTAATCCGAGTCAAAGTATTTCTGATTGACCTGGTGAAGCTGCGGCAAATTCATGATTTATACAAGCTGAAGAGGCAACTTTTATTTATTTTATTTTTATTCTTTATTATGACCATTAGTAAGCATTATTTGCACTCTGCACTTTTTGTGACTTTCCTCTTTGATGTTAGTAGACACCGCGAATGCCACCCCAAACATTCAACTAATGGAAGCAGAGGATGCTCTTTATTGGAGGATGGTATGTTGGCACTTGCAGAAAGAAGCACAAGTGAGTTTGCCTCCTTTTTCCCACGTTTTCTGTTATTATTCTGGTCATGTGCTGGGTATTACTCTGGTGTTTCAATTGATCTACAACTTAGGATTTGTTGGGATAGTAAAAATTGACCTTTAAGTAAAATGAGCCAAGTACCTAAGACCTCTTGGTCTAATGGCACTGGGGGGTTTGGGTGGGGTAAAGTAGGGGTTGTGGGTTCAATCCCGTGTGCATAAAAAAAAAAAAGGTAATATGAGCCAAGTAGGCATTGTGCCACTATCAAGTCATCCTCCGGTCTAATCTAACTTGCTTTGCTTGTCATCTCACGAAAGGAGAACAACAACAGAAAAAAAAGAAGGCACAAGTAGTTTGATCAATTTCAGCTTATAATGACTTTATGTACGCGTAGGTTTGAATCAATGCTCAAGTTATTTGGCTTGATAGTGCTTATTTTCTATATCACATCTACAGAGAAAAAAATTAATCCTCGTGCATGCGCATTTCATGAAGTCTTATATGAGATTTTCTTTCACTAAACTGTATAGTTGCTCTCTTTAGCATCAACATTAGAGATATGCTAGTGATATAAACAGGATTATCTTCGATTATCATTTAAGGGTATATTTTGCCTGAACAGGCAAAAGGCTCTGATGCTGCTGCTGCTATGGGCACTGAAGCTGCAGTGTATGCAGAAGAAGCCTCAAAGAACAATGACCTCCTTGAGAGAATTCTACCTGCAACAGTCTCAGACTATATACAATTGGTCAAAGCTCATATGAATGCTGGTGGACTGCGCATTTCTTTTTCATTGAAATGAGTATTGATTTTATTCCCAATTTGTATATCCTGATTTTTCCCTGATGCTTGCTTTCAGGATTAAATTTTCCATCTCGGCAGCTTGTATTGCTTGGTGCAATGCTTGATTTTTCTGATACTACAAACAGGAAGGTAGCTAGTGAATTCCTGGTGGAACTACTGCACAAGCCTTTTGACCATGAAGTTGATGATGATGGGAACATGGTTGTTCTTGGAGACGGAATAAACCTTGGTGGAGATGGAGATTGGGCTGAGGCAGTGTCTGGATTGGCAAGAAAGGTGTATGCAGCTAGTGGTGAATTTGAAGAAGTTATCCTTAGGGTTATAGAAGAGCTAGCTCAGCCTTGCAGGGAGAGAACAGCAAATTTTATGCAGTGGATGCACTGTCTTGCTGTGATTGGCCTTCTCTTGGAGAATGCAAGATCATTGCGTTCGATACAAGGGAAAGTTATTGAACCTACTGAACTCCTGCAATCTTTATTGCTTCCAGCGGTAATTAACCTATAAACCTTTAAAATCATGTTACTTTTTCTTCTTGTTGTTTTGTTTTTCAATAATTTTTTGTTGCATCTATCTGCTTTTCTTCAAAGAGTTGTCAAGAACTATGTTCAATGGACTTGAGTAGGTGTCCACCTTTTGCGTTGAAGTTAATGATCTTTCTTCCTCCAACTTCAGGAAGAGGCTATATCATTTAAGATCATTCATTAAAGTCTATTATCTTTTTTTTTTTTTTTGATCTATGTAGTGAGTAAATTGGAAATATGATTAGCTTCTCTCTGCTCTGCTATAGAAATACCTTAATGAGACAGCTTAATAATATTTCAGTTCCGCATTGTAGGCAAAAGAAAAAAAAAAAGATTGTCATATTTCAGAGTAAATATTTTATATGGACTCCGAATTGCAGGCAAAACATGCTCACTTAGATGTGCAGAGGATTACCGTCAGGTGTCTTGGACTTTTTGGGTTGTTAGAGAAGAAGCCAAGCAAGGAAGTAGTAAAGCAGTTAAGGCTTTCTTTTATTAGGGGCCCCACTCCAATTAGCGTAATGGCATGTAAGGCATTGATTGATCTTGGGATGTGGCATAATCCTCAGGAAGTTGATGGATCTTTGGGACTGGAAGTTCAAGACAGTGAGGTTGCTTCTAGTCCTATAACACTTTCTGATGAGGAAGAGAATCCAAGTACTAAACTGCTTGATCTCTTATATGCTGCACTTGATAAAGATGATTTGGGCAATCTTTTAGGAAGCGATGGAAATGAGTCAGTCCAAGCTGTACTTGGAGAGGGATTTGCTAAGATTCTTCTTCTAAGTGAGAACTATCTGAGCATACCTGCTTCTTTACATCCTTTGCTGTTGACGAAGCTCATTAACCTGTATTTCAGCAGTAAAACCAAAGACTTGCATCGGTAGTTAAACTTATGCTTCTTCCTCTTCTTTTTTCATATGAATATTTATTTCCTCCCATTTTTTACATAAAACTTCACAAGTATAAGAATTTAAATTTGTTATCTTCACCAGGCTGAAACAGTTCTTATCTGTATTTTTTGAGCATTACCCTTCCCTTTCTGCTAAGCACAAGGTACGTACTACATTTCCACATGTTTATGTATTCATCATTTTTTTTTTTTTTTTTTTTGCGTTTTCTTTTTCTTGAAAAACTAAAACTGCCATTAAATGTGACGAAATAACAGTCCAGAAGAGAGTCAGAGTTTTTCATTAAAAGTCAAAAGAACAAGAAAGCACGAAATTACAAAATGCTTTCCTCACCAAGAAATTGATGTCTGATTACTTAATTTTTATCATAATGATATGAAATCTAACGTTAATAGCGTAAAAATTTTAAATGCAGAAGTATATTTCCAAGGCTTTCGTTCCAGTCATGCGTTCTATGTGGCCAGGCATTGATGGAAATGCTGGAGGTTCTGCATTTGTTGTGTCTAACATGCGCAAGCGTGCAGTACAAGCATCACGATTTATGTTGCATATGATGCAGGCTCCTCCGTATAGAAAGGAAAATGAAACAGAGGATGTAAGTGGTAGCGAGGACCTGCCAGAAACTGAAAATAATACAGTGGAACCTCCTCCTGAGTGTGGTGAGGAGGGGCTCGCGATCCGCATAGCCGCCGAGGTAACTGTTTGCTCCTGTTGAATTCAAATAAATGGTTGATATTTTGTTTAACCATGTTATACGGGTAAGTAAGACGTGATTGAAAGACTTTTAGTCAGTAATTCGGCAATCCAAGTCCTTATAAGTCCTCTCACTTAAATACGTGGTGAAAACTTGTATCTTTGAATTCTCTGTTCCTCAAACGGATGTCAAACTTTTTATTTGTGGAATTAACTCATTTATTAAAGCTTCAACTTTGATGCAAGAAACAGGTTACTGATAGAAGTTGGACCAGTTTTTATATAATATTACCATTACAAAATCCCATTTGTACGATATAGGCCTGGTTAAGTTGTATGCTGTTGCTTTTTTTACAATCCGTGGTGGAGGCTGTCAAAGAGTACGTTGTAGAATAACGTTCTTTTAACTCGTGATTAAAATCATCACGCTTCTTTCACAACTCAATCAGAAGGGTCAAAACTCCAAACTGTCGATGGTTGTTTCAGTGCAACATATAGCTTCTGCACATCGCTCATCCAATGATGTCATATTAACCTTAACCAAGATAATGGTATACATTTCATCTGAAAAATCACAATGGTATAGTAAGCGTGGCCAGTTAATATGACATTTCATCGATTTCTGAGATATGTTTTCAAGGATTTTAGCACTTACAAAGTCGTATGCTTTGATTAAGACAAATCTCTTCACCATCACTATAGCAAGAAGTTCTCGTATTTTCTTTTTTCTTTGATCATCATTTTCTCAGTATCCCTTTTTCTTCTTATCAAATTTTTATAACAAAATGTGAAATTACCTACGGTACATGTTTTGAAGTCTGAATGTTATGTTAAGTCCTTTTAGCTCATTGCTGAAATTTTAAGATGCCAATTACTCTCAAAGGACCCATTTCTCACCATAGACTAGTTGGTACACTGGTTGGTATATGCGAACTAACTATCTTTGACCTCCTTAGGTTCGATGATGTCCTTTGGATTGAAATATGCTACTTTATTCTTATGGTTTTGCTGTTGTGATTATTTAGGTGGCAAGCTTCCCTGAGAAGAAGACTCCTGCAGAAAGGGCGTACATCTCTGCAATGTGTAGAGTACTTGTTTTGCTCCATTTCCGCTTATCAGAACAAGGGGCAATTAAGTTAATGAAGAGGCTTTTAATATCTGTTGCTGGATCCATTTCCACCGAAAAGGATCTCATAAAGGAGTTAAAGCGGATGGCTGATCATCTTAAGGCAATAGATAAACATCCAGAACAGGAACTAGTACAAGATCAAGCTAATCTTATATTTGGTAAGCGTATTTAGCTGATTCGAGTAAATGCATTGAATGTACGCTTCTTTGTCTTTTTTGGGTTCTACAGAGCAATAATAGTTGAGAAAATTTTCGAAAGTTTGTTATAATCTATACATTCTGAGATTCTGGGAGATTAATAGTGAGAACGACTCCCATTTTGGTCAAACCTTGTATGATGGACCCTCTTTTGGTCGCTACACATGCCATTCGGCAGTGCTTGGAGCAATTTGGGATCCACATTATCTGAAATGACCTGCATACGAAGCTGGGATAAAGAAAGTTTTTAACCTTTTATTTTTCTCTTCTCGATCAGTTCTTTCGCGCCACTGCATTAAACATTTGTATATATACATATTCTGAATGGACACTGCATTTGTCTATATAAGTGGCCGAGTAACATAAAAGTAGTGCATTAATGCATGAGGAAAATTTAATCATAATAGGATCCCTGTTATTTGTACAAGAGTCGGATTATTGTAATATTTAACGTGTCCCATGCCTCATGGATTCCATGTGAATGCAATCTGTTTTGTGCAACTAAAATTGAATCTGTTTCAACGACTCGTAAGGATATTAATGATAATCACTGTAACTAAAATCTATAATCATAGTAATGAATTAGTAATGGCACTAATCTCGTTACTATTACTATTAGTACTATCATATCAAATATCATTGAAATTATGAGCATCATTTTGTGTCAATTTCTTTTGTTCTACTTTTTGCTCGGGCAGTTCTTGTATATTCTTTATAGTTAGCAGTTTTAACTTTTCCCTTTCCTATTCCTTTTCCAGGGAGGTTAGAGCTAGACTTCAACGTAGATCTCACTGGTTCCGTTGAAACGCTTCAAACACCAGCTCCTCCCTCAACAAGACCAACACGCACCAGGAGACGAGTAAGGTATCAAGAGACATCTTCTGATGAAGAAACTTCACCCACCTCAGTCGTTCCTGCTACTGCTTGCACGGTAACCCGGCGCTCCGAGAGGGCAAGTAAGACTGCGGCAGTGGCAAAGATTACTGCCAACAGAGGCCGCAGTATGGAAGAGGACGATATCGCGAAGCAAGAAGACTCTGAGGTGACATCTGATGAGAGTTCTGATGAATCCTGTCAGCTCACTGAATAACTGTATTGACATGATAGACATTTGATTTCATGGAAAATTCAACAAGCATCATTTGTTGTATGATTGTATTTCTGGTAAGGCCTGAAGACTTTTTGTATATATTTGCAAAAGGAATGCTAAATGTCCATGTTTTGAGTGAGGCAAAACCAACAGAACAACTAAAAGTTTTAGTTTTGTTAATGTAAATGCCAGTTGATACTTGGGGTGGAGTAAAGTTATATTAGGATGGTGTTTGGGTTCTCTGTATGTGCTTTGATGGAAGTAATTAGGTAAAGGATAAATCTTTTCTCTCATACATAGCGTTGAATCTTGCCAGTTGATAACTGCATGTTTAATCATATTCTTAAATACCTGTTTATTAGCATGACAGTTTGCAAATATATGAAGGAAAGCGGAAATTTGTCTTTTGGCATATGAATAAACATGGTTAAACCAAAGATTCAAGATTAAGAGGTCCAATAAATAAAGACAAACCAAAATTACACATTTAAAGGGTTTTTTTTTTTTAAATCTCTTAAAGTTTTCAACCATAGCAAACAAGTATTTTACTTTAAAAAAAAAAAGTATTTCGTGAAGATAATTATTCAATCTTTATAGTAAAGCTTTCTATGGTATGGGTACGCATTTTTGAATGTTAGATCTTCTTAAAAATCATATCAAAATAGAAAAAGGTATACTAAATTGGTGTTTTTTTGTACAGATCTGATGTAAAAACATACCATTAAGATTTTTCCTTCACTTATTACCACTTAGTTTCGTCTTTAATAACATGGCATGTGTTGGTGGCATGAAACTTCACCTTATGTATTTATTTATTTATTTTTGCTCTGGAAAACAAAATTCACCTTATGTTTGTATGCTCTGTTAATTAACTTATGATGCATTAACATTTCTTCAATTAGATCTCCTTGATGTTTGACACTACCCAGTTTATTACAAAAGAAGGAGCGAGGTCAATTTATTCCATTCATTTAAGGATAACGGTATGCATTTATCTCATTTTAACCTTTCCTTATTCACTTTTAACCTCTTAAGTTACCCAGACGATTCTAAAATTTACAACATTGACCTCTTAAGTTGATATGCATCCCTGCATTTTTTTTTTTTTTTTTTTTGAAAAAATAGTTAAAGTTAACTTATTAAAAGTTGACACATCAAAGTGGGATTAAAATAAAAAAACAAAATGCACTGAGTCTTCGAGACGTCCTTATATTCACAAAAATTTCAAGATAATTGTTACATCATTATGTGGACAAATTAAGGTTGAATAAAGATAAAGTTGGTACTAATGAGTTGTTCATTCGCATTCTCCGCGTTCTCGAATATTCCTCATTTGCGTTGTTGAATTACATTCACAGTGTAAAGTAATTTCAATCACATTGCAAAGTACATAGCTCACTCTAGCGGTATCTCTTTCTAGAACCGTAGAAAAACAAACGCTTCCTAAATCTGTCTTTATCTTTATATCTTTTATCTTTTATCTTTTATCTTTATCTTTATATATCACTAAATCTCAAAACTTAGCTTATCTTTATCTTTATATGTTACTAAATCTCAAAACAGGAATTTTCTCTCTTAGTCACTTTTCATCATCTTTGTATCCACACGTAGCCAACGTATATAGCTCAGGAAAAATAATTTTACCCGTTAACTCATTTACCGATAGAGACCCGCTTTAAATGGAATGGAAAAAATATAGTTTAAATGGATGTGGGTTAGACATGAGAATAAAATTTTAATCTATCACGAATCGCGGAATAAAGATGAATTTAGAAGTTCTTGACCCTATTTCTTATTTACCTGCCTCATTTAATTATATCATATTATTAAACTATGTATAATATGCTGTAATATATAAGTTTAAGTATAATATATAGATATATATGAAAATTCAAAACTATTTTCTTTTTATTAATTTTAACTTCATATTTTGTATAATTGTATTATTAATTGATTAATTATTTATCTTATGATGAAATTAACTAATTAGGTAAATAGGCACCGTACGTATCCCACATTTATGACGGGAAACTCGCCTCGTATCCCTCTAACTTATAAAAATTTATTTTAAAAACTCTATAAGCCATGTGATGTGAGAAACAAAGTTATGTATGATTTATTTTTAACTCTTTCTATCACACATGTATTATTTAATTAATTCCTAATATTTAATACACTTTAACTAAAATAAATTAAAAAAAAATTGAATAGACATAAGTTCATGTGCCTTGCACGTGCAGTTTTTGCTAGTGATTATAACAAATTTGGTCATTATGATCTCAATTAATTTCACAAATAGCTGATGAGGTTTACTCTTAATCTCAATATGGTCTCTTTCTTCGTTCCCTTATTCTCGCTGCAGTTGATGGAGAAGCATTGAGCAAGGCATACAATGGATTCGTGAGCACAACACAAACGTTACTTTAATCCCTAATTTTTAAAACATCTACGGTTAGTTTTGTAAGGTTTTACTTTATTTTAGTTTAGATCCTCAATGAGATTTTTCTTTTTCTTATTATATTATAATTTTATTTGATTTTAGTTTTATTTTCTTCTGGAAAGTCCACTGAATGAGTTAATACAGGGGACAAATCCACAGATACATAAATATATTATATTTCTAGAAAAGTAGGAAAAGTCGTTTACATCAATATTCGTCGGCCGTTTGACCTAGTGGATCATGTAAGGTGGAAACGCATGGAAAATAGAGAGCATATTTGCCCACTTAAGGTTGCAAATTTCTTTGTGGACACTATTCATTGCAGCGCGCGCACGCGCACACACAGATATATATATATATATATATATATATGTATATGTATATGTATGAGTATATGTGCGTGTACTCTCAATGGCGTAAAAGACCTTTTGAGCTTTTCAAAAGACAATAAAAAACGTTAGATGATTGCAGGGAGCTCATACTCTCTTTTAGCTATTTTTAATTTGCTTGTCCCTTTCAAAGCAATTGGTTTTTTCTTCTCTGTTTTTTTTTTTTTTTAATTGATTGGATTGCACAACAAAAAAAGCTAGTTATCTTCTTTTTCATAGTCTTCCAATGAAATTGGGACCATATCTAGTTATTAAATATATAAATTTGGCTCCGAACATACTTTATCAACCAGCAAATCAGGTTGTGCCTGCTGTTATTTACCTAACCGAGTTATTTATGAGACTAATACTTTTCTAATTTTTGTTGATTGAAGGAAGAACAATACCTAATTGACGAACCTATTAATTGTGAGCATTTGTAGAAAATTAGGTAATGTATATATAGAACGTAGCTTACTAAAATTAGGGAAAAGGTTAAGCTATGGAATTTTCTGGATTTTGTAATTTATCCATTAATTTAATTAATCCCCATATACTATATAGTGTACTGCAAAGAAAATTTGAAATATTCCTTGGCATTGTTTGCAGGAATGAGAAAACCCACATGCAAAATCGCAGTAATATTGGATCTTTGTGAGTGATATACGCAGACATCATTCACACTAGAATCTTCTTCCATGATGCAATATGCTGCTAGAACTAAAAAAAATTATACATACTACTAAAGGAGGCACCCGGGTTACTATTCTTAGAACAGTGCCCGGTCTTTTCTTTCTCTCTCTGCTTTAGAAAAATTCCGACTGTATCCTAAATTTTTATTTTTACCGTTTTATTCTTGATGGTTTATTTCTGCTTTGGTTTTTGTTTGAGTATTTTTGTCTTATCCTTCGGAATAGAGCCCCACTGAAGTTTCTGCGCTTGATTGTTCGGCTTGGCTTTCTTTTCTCATTGTGAGAGTTCTCGACTTCCATTTATTTTTTTCATTCTCTCTCTCTTGCTTTTCGTGAGGCTTCTCGGATTAATTTTGTTTGTTTGTTTGGTTTTCTCGCCGTTTCTTTTCGTCAAGTTTCTGGATTTGGTCATTTTTATGCATTTTTTTTTCCTTCTCTCTTTCTTCCTTTTCGTGAGGCTTCTCAGATTCATTTTTTATGTTTGTTTCATTTTTTAGTTTTGTTTTTCGTTTCTCTTTCCTTGGATTTGGCTTCATTTTTTCTTATATTTTTTTTATTCATTTTTTTGCCGTTTTTCAGATCTGTTATCTGTTAGTGTTTTTATTTCAAGATCTGTTATTTGTTAGTGTTATCTGTTAGTTCTTTTTTTCATTTTTTGATTCGGTTTTTATTTCCATATTTGTTTTGTTTTAGTAGTATTGTATAATTTATTTTGATCTGTTCTTCGTTTTCTGTTTTCATTTTTTGTAATTTTAGAATTTTTTCTATTAATTTTTTTCAGCAAATGGTTTTTCCTTTTTTTTTTCTTTTTTCGTTATTTTTTTTTTTAGTTTTGTTGTTTTGTTCTTTTATTCTACTTCGTTTTCTCCTTTTTTTTTGGTTTTTTTTAGTTTTTCTGATTTTTTTATTATGTGTCTTCTTACTTTTTGGATGGTTTTTTTAGGAATAATTTTGGCCTATGTTTCTTGCTTTTTCCTTCTTTGTTGTTCTTGGTTTCTCTGTTGTTTTTTTTTTCCCCTTCAGATTCTTTAAGATTTCATTGTGTTAATTTTTTTCCCTCTTATTTTATATCAGGGTTTCATTTTCCCTTTTTTCCCCTCTTTTTTTGTTATCATTCAGAATAGATTCCGTGTTTTTTTTTTCTGTCGATTTTTTAAGATTTCGTTCTTCAAATTTTTTTACTCCTATTTCATATTAGGGTTTTGTTATCTCTTTTTTTTTTTTTCTTTCTTTCTTCTCTTTCTTTTTTGTGTTTGGTTGTTTAGGTCTTCGAAATAATCCATTTTTCTTTTATTTTTTTTCCTCTTTTCTCTATTTCGGTTGTTTTTTCATTTGTTCTGTGTTCATATTTTTTTTCTCTGCACATTTGATGTTCTATTGTCGTTTTCCTTATTTGTTTCTCTATGTGTTCTTCCTTATCCTCTAATTTTCTATAAGGGATATGTAGTTTTTTACTGTTTTCTGTTCATTGGTTCTATTTTCTGTTGGCTATCATGTTGTGTAACACATGTTTTTACTAATTATTACATGTTTTCATATTTGTTTGCAGGTTATATTAGTCGGGAATGTTTAGACATTTATTTTTAGTGCAGGGTTATTTTTTCTAACGGATTAATTTTTTTTCACTGTCTGCAGGTTATTCCTTCTGTTCTGTGGTAGTTATCATGCAGCGTAACACCTGTTTTCAACTAATTATTACATGTATTAAGTTTTATTTGCAG